TCTGGCCCTTTGCAGAAAAAGTAGGCTGCCTTAGAGTATAGAAAATGGACTTTGCCCACCATTCCACTGAATCATTAGGAGATAGGTGTCTTCTAAAGATTTTTTTGTGTAATAATTAATACATAGATAAAATTGTACATAATATGTAAGGTATGATGAATAACGGAATTAACACTTATAAACTCATCACCTAACTAAAGACATGGAAAGCTGGCAGTTACATATATGTATATGTTCTTCCTAACTTCTTTCCCACATCATTATTTTTTATTGTTCCTTGCTCTTTTTTTTTTTTTTCCTTTGGGACGGGGTTTCGCTCTTGTTGCCCAGGCTGGAGTGCAATGGCGCGATCTTGGCTCACCGCAATCTCCGCCTCCTGGGTTCAGGCAATTCTCCTGCCTCAACCTCCTGAGTAGCTGGGATTACAGGCACGCGCCACCATGCCCAGCTAATTTTTTGTATTTTTAGTAGAGACGGGGTTTCACCATGTTGACCAGGATGGTCTCGATCTCTTGACCTCGTGATCCACCCGCCTCGGCCTCCCAAAGTGCTGGGATTACAGGCTTGAGCCACCGCGCCCAGCCTGCTCTTTTTTAATGACACGTATATTCTCCAAACATACTGTTTCATTTTTAAAGATTTCTTCATATATCAATGTGAAGTCTTATTCAACTTGCTTTTTGAGTTTATGTTTAAAATTCATTCTTGTGCTTATATGCATGGATGATTTAGTTGCTGTATAATATTCTGTGTGAGTATACCACAATTTATTCATTTCCCTATCAGTTGACATTTGTTTTTAGTTTTTGTTGGTAGAAGCAGTACACTCAAAACATTTTTGAATGTCCCCTGGTACACATATGCAAGAGATTTTATACATAAGAGTGGAGTTGTTAGCTCATCAAGGGTTGGCCAGTTTTAACTTTGCAAAATAATGCCAGGTATTTTCCAAAATGATGGTATTCTCTTAGTAGTATTTCCCTTGGCAATGTTTTTATTGTTAATGTAGCATATATAAAAAAGTATCTCATAGTTTTAATGTGTTTTCCTGATCTCCTTTCCTGACCTTAGTAATTTTTCATGTTCATTTGCCATTCATTTCCCTCTACTGTAAAATTTGCCTGTTTGTCACTGCGGACAGTTTTGCTTTTCACATTTAGGTGTTTACTGAGAATTATGTGTGTGTGTGTGCAAGACGTAAGGTATCTAATTCTGTCTCCCCCCACCCCCACAGTGGATAATCAATTATCTTCCATTTATTGAATAGTAATCTTTTCTTCAGTAATCTCCCACAGGTCTTTATATATCAAGTGTGAGTGTTTCTGGGCTCAGAGATGTTTCTGGGCTCCGTCTGTCATTTCCTTTGTTCCGGTGCCACACTGTCATCATTGTAAATAGTAAGTCCTACTGATGTTAGGGCAAGAGGCTAATTCCCTCGACCAAAGTCTTTAAGAGTATTTTGGCTGATTAAACAAGTACCATAAGGAGTTTAAAATCTTCCCACAAAGAAACATCAGCCCCAGATGGACTTACAGGTGAGTTCTAACACCTTAAGAAAACAATGTTACATTGGGTACAGTGGCACACACCTGTAATCCCAACATTTTGGGAGGCTGAGGTTGGGTAGATTCTCTTGAGTCCAGGAGTTTGAGACCAGCCTGGGCAACATAATGAGACCAAAGATATTGTTGGACATTGTGAATTTTACCTTACTGGGTACTGGATGTTTTGTGTTTCTGTAAGTATTCTTGAGCTTTTGTCTTGAGATGGGATTAAGTTACTTAGAACCAGTTGGATACTTTTGGATCTTTCTTTTAAACTTGTCAGGGCTAGATTTTTTTCCACTCCTAAAGCAAAATCATGTGTGCCTCATGCCCTGTGAATTCAGAGGTTTTCCATTCTGGTGGGTGGCAGCAGGTATTTATTCGCACCTTTGTAAACTGTCTTCTAATCCTTTGTGGTGGTTCTTTCCCTGGCCCGAGTACTGACCATTCATCAGTACTCCACTGCAGAGTGTACCCTGTGGCAGGCCAGGTCTCAATAACACAGGCCTCCATAACATCTGTTTCAGTACTGACTGAATGGTTAAATACTAAAAGCTAAAAAAGCCAAGGCCCTTACACAAAGGCTAGAATGTAACAAAAGCCCACCAAGAGTTTTACCTGGGCCTTTCCTGGGCCTGAAAACATGACAAAATAAGGAAGGAATTCTTAACAGTACCCATTTTTAAACAAGTTTCTTGGGGGTCTGACAGAATCCTGAAACCTCCCTGGATTAGCAGGAGACAAGGGTCATCACCCCAGCACCTGGACCCATTTAGATTAAATTTACTGATGCTCCAGAGAAAGGTCTTCAGGACTCAGACCTTAGCTGTAGATTAAAAGAAGTTAATCACTTGTGTCTTAAGATGAATGCAGACTTACATGTAGACATAAAGTTTAGAAGGTATATAAGCTCTGGAAAACTAATTTTGAGTTGGTCTGGTGATAACTTCCAGGCCTTCTCTGTGTAACTGGTTGCAGAAATAAAAACTCTCTTCCTCCTCAGTTCATCTGCATATTGTTTTTAGGTCACGAGAAATAGCAGCCCCACTCCCAGTTTAGTCTGGGAACACCCTTTGCAGCTCTCTCTAAAACTGCCCTGAAAAGTCTAGCTGCTTGTTCTCCCTAGACTCTTAGAGAAACTCTTTCCTCAACTTAGGGCAACCACCAGCCTCTGCCTCTGTTCCCCCTTTCTGCTTTGTACCCTGGCCTTTGGAGCTTGCCTCATTTGTGTCCCATCTCTTGGTGATCATTGTCCCTTACTGCTTGATGTTCAATGTCTTCAAAACCATTGTTACTCCTTCCCCCAGCTTTTTAGTTATTTCAGACAAGAGGGTAAATTCAGTTCCTTTGTCTCTACAGATCTGTAGTTTCTGTAGCTGTTGACAAACCTGTTTTCTGCTTGCCTTTGTTCTTAATTTCCCACTGTGAGATCCTGCTAACAGACTTTTTTTTTTTTTTTTTTTTTTTTTTTTACTGCACTCCAGCCTGGGGAACAGAGCGAGACTCTGTTTCAAAAAAAAAAAAAAAAATGCATTTCAGATACAGTCAATAATTTTTTTTAGTGTAAATATGTCCTAAATAATGTCCTTCTATTTTATCTGGCAATTTTATTTATAGTACACTTAGGGAATTTTATTGAATTGTTTGAAATGTGTGGGGCCAGAACATATCTAATAATTTAATTTCTTGATTTTAAAGGAGTATTAGCTATTTTTTAAAACTTTATTGCATTTCAGGTTTTGGGGTACATGTGAAGAATATGCAAGATTGTTGCATAGGTACATACATGGCAGTGTGATGTGCTGCCTTCCTCCCCATCACCTATATCTGGTGTTTCTCCTCATGTTATCCCTCCCCAACTCCCCACCTGCCACTGTTCCTCCCTTAGTTCCCCCCCACAGACCCCAGTGTGATGCTCCTCTCCCTGTGTCCATGTGTTCTCATTGTTCAACACCTGCCTATGAGTGAGCTAACAGACCTTTTTAAAAAATCCTCTGGGCTGGGTGCGGTGGCTCATGCCTGTAATCCCAGCATTTTGTGAGTCCGAGGCAGGCAGGTCACGAGATCAGGAGTTCAAGAACAGCCTGACCAATTTGGTGAAACCCTGTTTCTACTAAAACTACAAAAAAAAATTAGCCGGGCGTGGTGGCACACACCTGTAGTCCCAGCTACTCGGGAGGCTGAGGCAGGAGAATTGCTTGAACCCAGGAGGTGGAGGTTGCAATGAGCCGAGATTGCACCACTGCACTCCAGCCTGGGTGACAGAACAAGACTCTGTCTCAAAAAAAAAAAAAAGTCTCTGTACATTTATTGGTTGGATATGTCATCACATAGTCTAGTCTTTTTCACTTCATTCACTTCATTTTATTCTGTTTACTTGGTTCTGAGTTGCCCTTTCAGACTTACAGCAAGAAAATTTTGATAAACATACCTTCTATATTAGAGTAATTCACAGAAACAGAACTAATAGGGAGTGTGTGTATAAGAGATTTATTATAAGGAATTTGCCCATACAATTACGAAGGCTGAGAAATCTCAAGATCTGCAGTTGACAAGCTGGAGATCCAGGCAAACTGATGTGTAGTTCCAGTCTGAGCCCAAGGCTGGAAAAGACCCGTGCTCCAGCTCAAGCAGTTTGGCTGTAGGAGCTCCCTCTTACTCCTGGGGAGTCAGCCTTTTTGTTCTATTCCGTCTTCAGTCGATTGAGGCCCACTCACATTGGGGAAGGCAATGTACTATACTCAGTGTACCAATTCAAATGATACTCTCATCCAGAAACTTTCTACTCAAAAAGTATATATTCACAAGGCTTCTGACCCCAAATTGTATTTTCCACACCAATCAATTATCCCATTCTCACTAAAACCTTTGTCTCCACAAACCCTTGTCTAAAGACATTCTTAAGTCTTTTTGTATTTGAGACATAGTCTTACTTTGTCGCCCAGGCTGGAGTGCAGTTGCACAATGTCTGCTCACTGCAACCTCTGTCTCCTGGGGTTAAGCCATCCTCCTGCCTCAGTCTCCTGAGTAGCTGGGATTACAGGCACGCGCCACCACGCCCAGCTAATTTTCCAGCTAATTTTTGTATTTTTAGTAGAGATGGGGTTTCACCATGTTGGCCAGTCTGGTCTTGAACTACTGACCTCAAGTGATCTGCTGGCCTCTGCCTCCCAAAGTGCTGGGATTACAGGCCTGAGCCACTGGGCCTGGCTGACATTCCTAAGTCTTTAGTCAATAACTTAACTCTTTCAACCAATTGACAATCAGAAAATCTTTGAATCTAGCTGTGACCTGGAAGCTGCCCACATTCCCCATCCCTTCCAATTGCCCTGCCTTTCCGGATGGAAGCAGTGTACATCTTAACATGTATTTGATTGATGTCCCATGTCTCCCTAAAATGTATCAAACTAAGCTGTACCCTGACCACCTTGAGCACGTGTTTTCAGGATCTCCTGAGGGCTGTCACCAGCCATTCCTTACTCATATTTGGCTCAGAATAAATCTCTTCAAACATTTTACAGTTTGTCTCTTTTTGTCAAGGAAACTCAGATGTATCAAGGGTAGGATGCAAACTTTGTGGTTTAAAATAGAATGAAATTTCAAGTTGCAGTGAGCAGCTCTGAGGTATGTTCATGAACAGCACACAGATGCAAAGCAATCTGGTGCAGTCTCCCGGAGTTCAGGAGGTACCTTTTTAAGGCCAGCTCCTCCCGCTCCGACACTCCCAAACCAGCGACTCTAGTGCTTGTTCAACTGAAGCAAAGAAGGGCGCAGCTGTTCTTGGATCCAGCATTTCCCGGACAAGGGCTAAGAGTGAAATTGACTTTGCTTGCGGCCCAGGGCAACGTTTAGGAAAGCAACCAAAGCCAGCAGGAGGCCAGAAAAAGCAGACAGACCCCTGACACTCCGCTGTGTAGTCGAGGCACATCTAACCCCAGCGTGTTGAGCAACGAGTGTCCCCCGAGCTGTTCTCCAGAGTCGCTCCAACAGACAGACGCCATTTCTGTTCCAGCCTACCCAGAATGCCGCCTGCCGCCTGCGGGCGTTGCTTTATGACGTCACCACGTGCTTCAGCGGGCCGGCGCGGGGGCTGCAACCGGGCTTAGCGGTGGGGAGGCTCGTGTTGTACTGTCCTTGCTCGCTTCCGGGTGGCCCTTCATGTCTTCTACTCTAAGGTGTGCTGAGGGGAAAGGCGCAGGAAGTCTCTAGCCTGACACTATGGAGGAAGAGAATGGCGACAACTTCGACGGTGTGAGCACCGACCGCTTGAAACAGCAGTTGCTGGAAGAAATCCGCAAGAAGTGAGTCGGGGGTGGCGCGGTGTGGGGTCCCGTCCACGCCCCCCGAGCTGTCACCTGCAGCGTCTCTTAGGGCCGATGCTGCTGAGGACGCTGTGAGACCTGCACCATAATTAACACCTGGGCACATCGGGCGACGTCCCAAAAGTGTTCCATGAGAAAGATTCATGTGCCTCTTTGACTAAGCCTTTGGTATTGTAAGTAGGCAGCTGTGAGGTAGGATGTTCTGCCCTTAGTATCCAATCACATGGAGTGTATTTTGCCCATGTACTATAAGGCCAAAAGTTGAGTTTGGTTTTGATGTTATCATAAATCCAGGTTTTCTGTTTAAAATCACAAAAATTGGCCGGGCGTGGTGGCTCACGCCTGTAGTCCCAGCACTTTGGGAGGCTGAGGCGGGTGGATCACGAGGTCAGGAGTTCAAGACCAGCCTGACCAAGATGGTGAAACCCCGTCTCTACTAAAAATACAAAAAATTAGCCGGGCGTAGTGGCGGGCGCCTGTAATCCCAGCCACTCCGGATGCTGAGGCAGAGAATTGCTTGAACCCGGGAGGCAGAGGTTGCAGTGAGCTGAGATTGCGCCACTGCACTCCAGCCTGGGCAACAGAGTGAGACTCTGTCTCAAAAAAAAAAAAAAAAAATTCCAAAAATTTTTATGTAGTTATGTGGGTTTTTTCATCCCTTTCAGGGGAACTTCATAAAATGACACGTACTAAAAATGTTACTCCTCCTTTATGCTTTTTAAGACAGTATTCATACTTCGTATTAAATTTTTGAAACAGTTAAAGTATTTTTTGGACATACTCCCCACTCCATCCACAAGTCCCGTGAGAATTGGACTCTCCTATGTGCCTAGATAGCGTTCTGGGTTTTCCACTATTGTAGCTCCAGTCGCAGTATTTTAATTGCCTGTGTATTTCTCGTTTTGCTACCAAACTACACGCGTTCTGAGGACAGGTTCTGTGTATTCCAGGGAAGTAGAGGATAAGAGCAAGTACTTGAGGACAGTCCTCAGTAAACCCCATCTGTTGTCACTCAGTAATTATACAATCTTAGACAACTTAATTAACCTCTTTAAACCCTCAGTTTACTCAGCTCTAAGACTGGTATACAAATACTTATACCTCCAACGGTTGTTCCCAGGTTGGAATGAAATGCACTGTAAAGCACTTAGCATTGGCTTGTAATACGCATCCAGTGGAATTTTGTGGCTGCTATTGCTGTTTTTCTGTTCACTGTTCACGGAATTCTTCAGTATTTAATACATTGCCTTGAACATAATAGGCATTCAAATATTTTATTGAATAAATGACCCTGTCATACTGTGGTAATGTTCTATTTACTGATGTCCTAAATAGCTAACCTTTTAAATTAGTTTCTTTTTTTCTGTTTCAGTTTGTCAGCTGTTATGTATTGACCTAGCTATGCCTTTCTGTAATAATGTGCAGTGCCTAATTTGCTTGATTCTGAAAAACCAGATAACCAACTCCTTTGGGATAATATTTAAGTTAAAAATAAAGGGTTTCCAATGATTGCCTGGGGGTCTTTGAGTTTAGTGCATATTTGAGTCCTAGAACTGACTAATTGGAAGCCTGCCTTTGCCTGATTCTTGTTTCTCAACCAGGACTTCAGTAAATGATGTGTTATAGTAAATTGTTCCTGAAGTAGTAGTGGGTTTCTATGTATTTTTCATGTTATTTTTAATTGATTCATACTCAACAAAAATATTTTAAAAATACAGGGATGCAGTACAACTCTCAGTGTTTGAACTAAGACACAGGATAGCAGAACTGGAAGCCAAACTCAATACTGACAATGAAGGTATATAAATAAATATTTATATATATGACTCCTGTATAACTGTTGTTCATTTTACCAGGATATCTATAGTACATTAAATTCCATATATTGAATAATAGTACCAAAGTTTCAGTATTGCTTTTTGGACACAATAATAATTTATGATAGAGGCTTTAAAACTGATACTTCAGAATATCAAACCTATTACTATTTAATTATTTTTCTACCTTTCAAGTTCAAGATGTTTATTGGCAAAATCTTTGTTACATGACATCAATATATTATTTATTAAATAAAATATCAGTTTTCTATTCAACTCAAGTTATATTCTTCATATCTTAACTTCAGGACTTGGGATATGTTTAAAATCCTTATCTAGGTTTTGACTATTTGTGTTGGAAGAATGTGTGTTTGGTGTAGGGGCTGTTGTATACACACACACTTATATATCCTTAAAATTTATGTAAATTTATGTAAATAATGTATGCAAGATATGACCCTGCCATATGTCAGCACTTTGAATGGAATACCTTTTTTTTCCCTGTTCTGAAGAGGTTCACTGACTATTGGGAGAAAGTCTCAAACCAGAATGTGGATATGAGAAGTGATATAAGTTCTACATAAGGATAAATGGAAACTTAGGTAAGGGAAACCTAACAGAATTCAGGTGAGGTAATAAAGATAGGCTTTCCAGAACAGGCAGTGCTTGAACTGAATGCTAAAGAACAGGAGGAGTTTATTAGGGTTATCAGGGTGGGCATTTATACTCTTCCTCATTTGGGGAGCCATGAACAAAAAGATTAGTGGCCATATGAGAAATACAATGCCACTTTCTGTAAGTACCCAAAGCTTTGTTAAAGCTTATTTGGAGAATACTGCTTTGTCCCAAGGCCAAAGTAGCTTCCTCTATCTCCATATCTATATCTTAGATATAACTGGGGGTAGGCTCTGAATGTACTTATCAAATAGTCGCATTGGCATGGTAGCTGGAACCTTCTCATGTACCCAGTTGCAGAAAAAACAAGGCATGCTCACAGGTACACATGCAGTGCATTAACTATGCACACTAGTAAAACGTGGCTCAGCAGGTTGTACTAGCAGCAGTTCTCAAGAGAAGGAGCTGGTATGTGGGTATCAAGAGAAAAGGTCAGAATGATAGGAAAGAAAGTTCTTTCCTCAGTGGGCCAAAAGTAATGCCTAAGGTGAAGGGCAGAAACATTTACTCCTTTAAAGCCAGGGACTGTGTCAGGTGAGGTAATTATTATTATCCCCATTTATGGAAGAATGAAATCCAGGAATACAAATAACCTCTAAGGTCAAATAGCCAGGGAGTGGCAGAGCCATGACTTGATCCTAGATCATCTATTTACCATGCCTTTAGTAAATGATAATACAACTGACATCTATATCATACTCAAAACAGTTCTGCTTGTCTATTGCTACATAGCAAACCGCCCTATAATTTAGTAGCTTCAAACAACACATTATGTCTTATAATTCTGTGGATCAACTGTGGTTCAACTGGATGGTTGTTGATTGGGGTCTCTTGTTCGGTTACAGTCAGGTATACTGAAGATTCAAGTATGCTGGTCTGACACTGGCTTTTGACTGAAAGCTCAGCTAGGGCTGCCTGTCAGAAATGCCTCTTGTACCTTTTTCTTCTCACAGGATGGTGGTTAGGTTCCAAGAGGATGTATCCCAAGAACAAGCATTCCAAAGGACACAAGTAGAGACTGCCAGGCCAGTCGAGGGCTACTCCTAGAACTGGTGCAGAGTTATATCCACTGTATTCTATTGGTCATAATAGTCACAGATTCAAGGGAGTGGAGAAGTAAACTGCTTTTAAGGGTTGCATTACAGAGCAACACATGGGATAGAATATATTATTGCAGTCATCTTTGGAAAATACAATTTGGCAAAGGAGCATTAAACATAAAGCCATTTGGAGAATATCCTAAGTAATTGATAAAAATGGAACATAGGTCATGATGAGAATGCATTAGGAGATGAGATTAAAGTTTATGAAGGAATAAATCAAGAAGATTTCTTGATGCTAATGAATTTACATTTATCCTGAAGGTAGTGGAGCAACATTAAGGTGTTTGAAAATGAATTTATTATTGGAAATATGTGCACACACAACAACTAGGGGTATGTTCACTGTTCAGATAATTTTTTCACCCTTTTTGCTCTCTTCTCAAATCTCCACCACCTCTCCACTCATTCATACTCTCAGGTATTGAGCTTATCCTCCTCTTTCAAAGAAAAGAGAAGCAATCAGAAGAGGACTTCTGCATATTTCTACCCACAAAGCTACCCATCTGCCTGCACCCTTGCACATCCTCTTTCCTCTTGTTCCTACGAATGATCTGTCCTTATTCTCATCTCAGGTTATCTCCTCCATATCTACTCGCACCTACTCAAGGATATTACTCTAGTGATGGCCATGTTTTCCCTGCTCTGCTGGATCTTTCCCAGCAGCAGACAAACATGCTGAATTTATTTTACCCAAAGAACAAATGATAGGCTTCTTTTGGTCTCACTTTTCCCCTTCAACTAGCATCCCCTGTCCCTGCCTCATTTACAGCAAAAGTCTTCAAAAGAGTGGTTTTTATTTCCGCTTTCTCATCTGCTTATTGTTTGATCTTACTTGTCACTGGACTAATTTTTACATAAACGTTAAACACAGACAACTCCAAAGAGCTTTATATTCTCAGAGACACCTCTTGAAGTCGTTTAGGATTCATAGGAAACTATATGTAGAAAATTTGATTTTATGTTTTAATTTGAATTTCACAACAAAGTTTAGTAATAAGAAAATGGTAAAGAAAATGTTCAGGTGACTTTTTTTTAAGTAAAAAGAATTAGTATTTGTGTAGAGCTTTAAGTGCATTTTTTTTTTTTTAATGATTGAAACCTCACAACTACCCTTTGAAGATAGTATCATTACCTTCATTTTATAGATTAAAAAATGGAGGCCGGGTGCAGTAGCTCATGCCTGTAATCCCAGCACTTTGGGAGGTCGAGGCAGGCAGATCACCTGAGGTCAGCAGTTCAAGACCAGCCTGGCCAACATGGTGAAACCCGGTCTCTACTAAAAACACAATAAAAAATTAGCTGGGTGTGGTAGTGGGTGCCTGTAATCCTAGCTACTTGGGAGGCTGAGGCAGGAGAATTGCTTGAACCCAGGAGGTGGAGGTTGCAGTGACCCAAGATTGTACCATTGCACTCCAGCCTGGGTGACAAGAGCAAGACTCAGTCTTAAAATAAAAAAAGGAGACTCCAGAATTCTAAACGGCTTTCTCAAGGTTACACAGGTGGTAAGTGATAGACCTGGAGTTGAATCCAGACCTTCTGGCATCAAATTCCATACTCAGTCTCTACTTCTTTTCGCTTTTTAAGCTTAAATTTGCTCCTCAGAGTTTTTTCTCTAAAGAAGAGAATCTTGGTTTACTGAGGTTGTGGGACATTTGCTTATCTAGATACAGAAATAGTTAGATTTACCGAATACATGCATGATTTTGACGCATCCTCCCTTGAACTCACTCCAATAAGAAGTTTTACCTTCAGTCAACTGAACTGCTCTTGTCAAGGTCACCAGTGATTTCCAGTTTGCGAAAACCAGTGTAAGCTCTAAGTCATCAGTTACTTGACCTACAACTGATCATGACCTCATCCTTAAAACCCTTTGTTCAAGTGGCTTCTAGGACACCACATTTTCTTGGCTGTTTTCCTAACTACTAGGCACTCATCATTTCTTTTTATCTTCCTGATTTCTAAAACCTTGTGGTGCCCCAGGGCTCAGTCCTCTGACATTTTCAATATGTGTACCCACTGCTTAGGTGATATCCTCCAGTCATATGGAGGATATCTGTATTCAGTCTGTGTATTGACGACACACAAGTTTACATCTTCATCCTGGATTTCTCCTTTGAGTCATTTTTAGGCAGGTTTCAATGCCCAAATCCCTTTGGCTAGTGGGTAATATATTAATAGATCCAATATATATTTTTTAAACTCACTTCAGCAAATGCTAAAAGTTTTTAAATAAAATGCCATTTGTTTTTTGTATTTCAAAACAAGGAAAAGAATGCTTCTATTAATCTCAAACTAGTATAATAATTAGTAATGAAATAGTAGAGGCATTTCCATCCTTGGGGGAAAAATACCAAAGCTGCCTGCTGTTATTATTAAAATGCAATATAGTTTTGAAAGTTCCAATTAAGCAATAAAACATGAAATAGAAATAAGGGTTGTAGCTATTAGGAAGTGATACAATTATTACAAACATTAGTATATTAATAAAGAATTAGAAAATGGTTGGACACAGTAGTGAAAGACATGTTTATTTAAAAAAACAAATGCCAGCAATAACCAGTTAGAAAACAGGATTTTTAAATGAGCCCACCCACAATTCCAACCCAAGCCATAAAAGATCTGACAATATCCTTGACAAGAAATATGAGAACTTATATAAAGAGAGAACAGAAGACTATAGCTATAAGGGAATAACAGTTCAGTCCAAATTCTTACTTATTTAACGAGAGATTTCATACAGGAAACTCTAGAATAAAATGAATTTGGGAAAGCTTTGCAGCATTAGCACATGTTTGCTGAGCTTCTGGAGAGTCTTTGTTAGTAAATGAAACATAACAGTGTATATCTTATTGCTACAAAGAGTCTATCTTGTCAGTCTTATGATTTCTATTTTAATGTTAATGCTGGTCATTTGTGCCTAAACTCCAAAGTGGGGGAAGGTATAATGTGGTGTGTCCAAGCCTCCACTTTTCATAATGGCCTGAACTAGTTTTTCAGGTTTCTTTGGGATTCCCTTTGGCCAAGAGGTGGATACATTCAGTCTGTTGGAGGGCTTAGGATTTTAATTTTTTAGTTTATATTCCCCCTTTTTGGGTCAAGGTATGCAGAGGCAGTATCCATAGCTAAGCTTTTATTTTGTCCAGGGTGGTGCGGCTATGTGCCCCCAGTCCATCATGCCTCTCAGTGGGACCAGTATTGCCAAG